AAACAGAAAAACTATCGAGTTCGTAAATTTTGGATCAATTAGACAACAGAATTAGGAAAACAGAAGATATAACGCAATATTACACCAAAATCTATTTTTTGTAGTTAAAGGATTATCACATAAATAGCGTTTCATTCTGTTTAGAGAAAAAGAAAATAAATACTGACATTTGAGAAGGAATGCAAGATAACTGAGTTGATCCGATGTGTGGTTCTCACACTCTCAGTATGTGTGTTTACAGAAAACGACTAAAAACTAGATTTAAGAAGGAATTCCAGCCACGTTCAACCCATGTGTGGCACTTATAACAAAGGTTTATTCACGGATAGATTTAATCTTACCCCTAATCTTATATGCGTGCTTAGTCATCAATATTACATTTGTCCTAACACTTCATTCTAATGGACAGATTTATTTTTTAAAGTTTCTATCATTTTATACAATTATATTATGCCACGTCAAATAGGTCGCATTGTTTTGTAAAGAAAACCTTACAAATGATAGCTTTGTTTGATTCAATACGTGACTTGAGCGTGATCTCAATAGCTCAGGTACAAGAAAATCCCCAACCTGTAGTGAAAAGTAATTGTAAATACTAGCTGTTGTTTTATGATTCAAACAATCATACGACCAACAACACTAGACAATGGCAGCCGCCCGAATGTAAATCAGACCGCTGACTAGAGAGGAAGTTCAGGGAAAGGCATCAAAATAGCTGTTGAGTCTAACACTTTTAGCGGGAAGAGGGGTTTTAAGGAGAGTAATTGCATGAGGGGGTAACTAGAGGGGTGGGGAGCGGAAAGACCGCAAAATTCACTTGGACAACCCTTGTTAGATTATCAGGCCGCAAAGGTTGAGAAGTTAGGCACACGGTGAAAACGTAGATCCGCTGCGAACGTGGCCTAACTATCTCTTGCTTTGTGGTACTTGCTTTTCTTGCTGCTTGCGAGAGTCTTATTTACTGCTTAAGCTGGTAAGTACCCGATCAAGCCCTTAGCACTTTAACGTAAATCCGCTTTAGTAAATGTGTTTATTCTTCTTGTTTTGTACGTAGCTTTTTCTCAAGAAAATTAATTGTTGACAACTCAAAAATTCTCAACTCAAATAAAATACAGTTAGCTTTACTCGTTCTTCTCAAAACATTGTTAGCGGGTTACTTTTTTCAGGTAATTAAAAGTTTTTCACTTAACACTATAGTGTTTAAATGATCTAACAGACATGGAAAACGTCATATTGTATATGAACACTACATATTTTTGCGGGTACATAAAGATAGCAGACATACAAAGGTACAAAATATAGTATAACAACTGGAGGTCATGCTTATGAAGGGTAGCTAACTTGAAGCTACACTACGAGTGATCGGGCGTGAGCATAGTAATTAGTGTATTGGGCTCCGGTCCAAGGTTTGAGATGTGATGGCGCTCAACCCCTTCTGCATTTTCAGCTGTGGGCACACTATAAAATTAAAAGTGCTGGCTGGTTGCCCTCCCCGTAGGCAGTACTTCAAAATTAGCGACGACTATATATATGATATGGCCATTTAACCCACTTGCTTATATGGTGTCATCCAGGTTGGTTAGTATTAGTTACAGTAGTTGGAATATGTTGTGGTAGTCTTATCGATCTTTGTCTTTGTGGAACAAAAACACAAACTAATACAAGCCAAAAACTGACCTCCATAAATGATACTAAACACAAACACAAACTAATACTAACCAACAACTGACCTCCATAAATAATACTAAACAAAAACACAAACTAATACTAACCAACAACTGACCTCCATAAATGATACTAAACAAAAACACAAACTAATACTAACCAACGACTGATCTCCATAAATGATACTAAACCCAAAAGTATCATTTATGGAGGTCAGTTGTTGGTTAGTATTAGTTTGTGTTTGGGTTTAGTATCATTTGTGGAGGTCAGTTTTTGGTTTGTATTAGTTACGGTAGTTTGAATTTGTTGTGGTAGTCCTGTCGACCTTGGTTGTTTTTGTTTTGAATTAGTATCATTTGTTGTGGTTATTTTTTATCTTTGATAGTTTTGAAAATTTGGTGTGGAGTCTAATACTTGTTAAGATGGTCAACAGCTGTTGCGATTAGTAACTTACAAGCTATGGTGGTTATTATCGATTACTTTGGGTACTATCTGTTTCGTTATATATTACTTCTTAAAGTGGTTTACGTGTACTTGGGATACATTATCTGCTGAGATAAGAATTATCTATCTTCATGTTTAGTGTCTGTTGTGAATGGTATCTTTTGTTACTAGAATCAGCTGAAGTAGAATATCTTTTGTGGCGGCTGGTATACATATACACCATTATACACCATTAGGGTGTCTAAAAACATTTTTTTAAATATCCTACTTTTCAGGCCTTAATCAATTATGTGGATCGTAACTAAGCTATTGAGTCCAAAATTGGAGTCATTGAAGGAAAAAAAAAACTTTGCCTCAACGGCCTTTTTGTTCCGGGAAAAAAAAACTATTTTTTAATTTTTAAACTTTTCGGATTTACTTTTCAAGGTCAAAATTTGATTAAAAGATGTGTGTGATGACTCAAAATGTTAATTACGCACTAAATAATGTTATATAACTTTAAACAATAAAAACTAATGTAAACATTTGCTGTGATGTGCCTAAAAAATGTACCTATTTTCTTGTCTTTTTTTAATTTGTAAATTATTTTCTAGATAAGTTTTGTTGAATATATATATATATATAAAGAATTTAATTATATAAGTAGTATAAATAACTAAGAATGAGCAAAGGAGCATTTATCATTAAGTAAAATGGTTTATTTGAGTGTTTACATTTAAGGGGAGAAACTTATTTATTCAAAAGGAAAACCAATTTTTCTAAGAACAAGAGAATCTCAAGAGGGTATTGAAGGGATAACTCTTGAGTCACTTATAAATCCTTCTTCATGGTTTTTATTTGACTCTGTGTTGAATGATTTTGCAACTTGGCTCATTAAAAGGCCACCATCATGGCAAGAAGACCCAAATTTTCAAAGAGCGCAACAATGGGCTTTTAGTAATTAATGATATTGTGGAACGAGGTATCTATCTCATAAGTGACTATATAAATATTTCAACAAAGAATCGACTTCAACAACAATTCATGTTACAAGTAGTAGAGTTTTACCGAAAAAGTTATCCAGATTGCTCGAGTCTCCGTCACTAAATAAATACTTATATGAATACCTTTTCTTCATCATCACCATCACCATATGTTCAGATCAAATTTATCTCTTTAAATGATGTTCCGATATCTTGGATTTAGTTTATTTAAATCATTTTTTTGTAACATTTTTATAATCATTTTGCATTAAATTTCTGTAAACTCCGAAAATTAGCTATTTTATTCAATGATAAATGTTCCTCTGCTCATTCTTATTATTTTCACTACTTATAGTTAATTTATGTTTTGATATATTCAATGAGAAAACTTATCTAGAATTTTGGGACACCCTAATGCACCATATTACCGTTCTGAAGTGGTTACTCCCCGTTTTTCTGTTAATATTTGTTTGGCTAGTAACGACTGAGTAGTAAATTAATATGTCAAAATATTAAATATAGAACGTTAAAATCAATACGCAATTACAATCATATCAAAATAATGACTCTACGTGTTTCGACTTGTCACACGTCATCAATTATTATTTCACCAGTAACTTCGATATTGTTATTCAGTTATGCACACAGACTGATAATACAAAAAAAAAGAAAACTTCAAAAAATTCTTAAACAAACACGTATGTGTATGCTAATTATTTTTTAACTTTTGTATCTCTATAATTGAGGATTTTGATCGTAATCGATAAAGTGTACACTGATTAACCTATACTGTGTTATTGGTATATACTACTCTATTACTACATGTTGTGTCACTTGTATCTGCTACTGTATGACTACATGTGTTATTGGTATCTGCTACTCTATTACTACTTGTGTTATTGGTATCTGCTACTTTATTACGTCATGTTGTATTATTGGTCTCTGCTACATTATTACTAAAGTTATGTTATTGGTATCTGCTACATTATTACTAGAAGTTGCGTTATTAGTATCTGCTACATTATTACTACATGTTATGTTATTGGTATCTGCTACATTATTACTACAAGTTGTGTTGTTGGTATCTGCTACATTATTACTACAAGTTGTGTTATTGGTGTTACGCCTCCGTTCGTTAATTTTCCGTAAAAATTCTTTCCGAAGAAACTTTACCGATACAAGTCCTTTCTTAAATAAAACTGGTTTATTCTTTCTGAATACAACTTTGAAATTCACTTCATTTCAACGGTCACACTATAAGTTAAACAAACGCTATAATTCACAACGAAAGACACACGCGCTCGACCCAACAATACGTCTCTATCTCTGTCTGCAGTTCAATTACATTCATTGTTGCCGTCAGTTCTTACCGGTCTTATATATATAAGAATACCGCATATCTAGTAACCTCACGAGATTTCAGGAAGGGACACGAACGTTCTAGAATCGTACGACGTGGTACTAGCGTCACGTGATCTCCGCTGTCGTAATATTGGTATCTGCTACTTTTTTGCTACAATAATCTTCTCTACACACTTTTATTGCCCTAAAAGATTGTTATTAAAATCGTCTTTATATAAACATTTTCCCACTCTAATAATATTCTGTATAAACATTTTCCCAAAGTTATAATAATGTGCTCTACAAACGTTTTATTCGTTACATTGTTGCTATAATAATGTTCTCTGCATCACGTTTCAACTTTCTAAAACAGGTACTTTAAAGCAACATACTTTATGTTTACAAATAATTTAAGGGAGTTTAGGTAATCATATCAAAATTTAAACTGCCCAACACACACATTTTAATTATAGTTTCAGATTAATCTTTGATTTTGATCACACTGGGGACTCTAGGGTGTCATTTTCTTTTGGAATCAACATTAACAAATAGATAATGTATTCGTCTAGATAATAAAAGACGAAGAAATTTAACTTTTAATTGCTTTTATTTCGGGAGCATTGGATTTGTACTCTTATTCTATTCACCTAAATAAGACACAAACATATGATTTCTTACCCAGCATGGAAAAACATTTAATGAAACTAAAGTGAAAGCATGGCTGTTCTTGTTTGTCTCGATATCAATATATATTTAAAGTTAGATGTGTCTCTAAGGCTTTAGCTCCAGTTTTACCATAAGCATGCTTTGCACTTTTATAGCTGACGTACTTTAAGTTTGGAAACTGTTAGCCATGTTTTAAGCATCTTTATTATTTTGTTTAGTTCCGGAAGACCCCGGTAGAACATTTGTTCACCTCTGTCAGTAACTATTCCTCATAACACACGTACACAACTGTTGAAATAAAAGATGATGTTATCTCAACCAGTTTTAATGTAAAGCACGATTGAGTTACTTATAACTTGCGTTTTAATATGATACCTTTCTGTAGTTACAACATTAAATTGTGTACTAAGCACATAAATCGAGAAGATTGATGGATGTGAAGAAATATATAGTGAGTTATGCGAACGCTAAAGACAGATATACACTTAGTTTTCATAGTTTCTAGGAACTTCGGGCACTCGTATAGTTTCTGTTTGATGTGTACACTTATTATCATTTCTCTACTGGTTTAAGTTACACGTTAATGAGTCTCTGAGATGTGCTTACTAAATAACCTTCTAATGAAAGTGTTGAAATAGCGATGAAAGGACATTTAGTTCAAAACACTGTTAGTGAACTTTATAATTCTATATACATCGTTGTTCTCGGAAATATTTAACAGAACCCCAACGTTCTAGATACGACGTTGTTCTTGGAAGTATTTGACAATCACCCCAACTGTTCTCTGTCATTTGGTATACAATCAGCGGCTGTTCGGCGAAGTGTTTGCATGACCATCAGAGATATTTATCGAGTTGTATGACGTCTAACAGTCTGGAAACTCGAGGTGAAAATGCACTTTCCAGAATGCTACGCAAACTTCTGTTATTTCGATATTTATACATCATACGCTGAACTACCAAAGAAAGAAAGTTCAGATTATACACCAACATTTCCATGTGGTTAAGTGTTAAGTTTGTAGTTTGCACATCGAAAATGCATATCATTTAAGTTCGTTTACTGTGGAAGAAAATAAAGGATTTGGAGGTAAACATATTCTAACATAAATGACGCAACACCCCTCAAAAAATAATTCATATAATTGTTTCCGCAATGGTTTGCCCAACTACATATATATATTATTTTTTGTTTGAAAATAATAATTAAGTATGATATACACATATACAATTTTTTATTCCTTCAACCGACGTTATGGGCATTATTTTCGTGACCAATGAGCTCAAATTAACACAAAACCTAATCTATTAGCGTCGTTATTTGATACTTAAAATTTCTTTAATTGAGGTTAAATGACTCGAAGGGTATAGACATATTTTTAGAATTAATTATTAATTTTTGGTAAATTTTATTTTGTTTCTCTTATTTTATTTTTCAATTTGACCTTTGATATTCGTAATCGAAAAGTTTCTGTTAACTGAACAGCATACTACACAAAACTAAGACTTTAAAGGTTTTAATTGGAAAATCTTTGCTTTATTTACTAACTGTTAGATGGGTGCTCAGATTTGTTTCATTAACAATTTAACATGAACGACAAAAAATATATTATCTACATTTCCTGTGATCGACGCCAAACCCCAACTGCATTATCCTTAGTTGTTTGTTTGAAGTCAAGCACAAAGCTACACAATGGGCTATCTGTGCTCTGCTCACCACGGGTATCGAAACCCGGTTTCTAGTGTTGTAAGTCCGAAGACGTACATACCACTGTGCCATTGGGGGGCATTATCCTTAGTACCAGGTACAACCACGCCAAAAAGGACATAACATCGGTTTTGTTGTTATAAACTGGTTTCTCTATATTACAAGACCGGCATATTAAACAAAGTTCTTGGACTTACGAAATGCTCTACAGATTCAACAATAATACTAAAAAGTCTTTCTCGTTAGACCTTATTTTTTGTTGTAAAAAATAAAAACATTGTCAAAAAACAAATTTTTAAGTGTTTTTAGATTTCGAAAAAAAAAAGTTGAATTGGAGAAAGTAATGATAAAAACAAATGTCCAGTCTAACAATGTTTTAAAACTTTCGATCTTTACCTTAAGGAAAAACATTCGCATGAACATGAAAAAATAAAACAAAAACATAGCAGTCATTGAAGATGTTCTTTTAATGCGTATATTTCAGTAAAACTAAACGTGCCAGTACTAGACACAAATTCAGTTATATTTAATGGAGTGAAGCTGAACTATGACACTGTTTTTAGATTGAGAATTACGTTATTTTTAATAAAAGCAGACAGAAGATATATATGTATATATATATATATATATGTATATTTCCAAAATATACGCAAGAATACCAATATTTTCATAACTTTACTTGAATTGTATTCTATACAAAATGCATAGAAATCAAGAATAATTATATTACCTTAAATATATTTAAAATAAGTTTTATTATCTGTGCATGATAGGTATAGTCATCACCATTTCCATTCAAAATGGCAAACACTCGTGGCTCTAATACAAAAAATCGAAAACTAACCTAAATTGCCTCTAGCAATCATTACGTGAAGTCAAACTATAAACCGTCTTTGTTCCATTTATGAGTTATGGTCACCTCCTTTGATTCTGTGGTTATTTTCTTTCAAACTAAGCAGTACATAAATGTACCTGAATCAAGTTGTCATCGTCTCGTTTTTTATTGTAATTAACAGAAAACAGCAGAAATGCAAGCGTTTCTGCAGTTTTCTGGAAGAATGCAGCGATGTGTCAAAGCAACTATTTCGCTCTTTTAAAGTGCTATCAAAACTACATTATTAAACTAGCGTTTTAACTTTTCATGCTTTGAAGTTACATCTAATCACAAGGCCATTGACAACTGAAGTGGGACATTACTGTACACTATAGGGTGTTCCAAAACACTTTATACAAACTTTGAATGTTTATTAAGATATATCTAAGTTTTATAATTCAAGTTAAAGAAGACTCTTTTAGAGCCCATAACTCACTTATACTTTCTTTCTTTACAGGTGCAACTGATTTGAAGTAATGGCAGAAGCAAGACTAAGCTTTGAGAAAAGGAAATTTATCCTAAAGTGCTACTGGAAGTGCGAGAACGTAGCTGAAGTGCGAAGACTGTTTAGAATGGAGTTTCTAACAGATCCACCTACGCGACTTACCATTACTCGCATTAGAGATAAGTTTGAAGCAGATGGAACTGTTCAAGATGTCCATAAACAGCGTTCCGGAAGACCGCGGTCGTCCACCAGTTCTACAAGAGAAGCAGGGCTGCTGGAAAGTCTCCACCGATCTCCAAGAAATCCGAGAACAATTTGGAGATGAGGAGTGTTATTTCCAGCAAGAGAGAGTACCTCCCAACTACCATCGTGATGTGAGGGCCTATCTTGACAAAAATCTGCCGAACAGATGGATTGGGCGAAGAGGTAGCATTGGACTGCTACCAGACCTCACACCACTAGACTTTTTTTATGGGGATACCTGAAAGATAAGGTTTATAGCACAAAAACTGCAACAATCAATGAGTTGAAAGCAGCAATTGAAAGAGAATGTGCTAAAATACCAAATGAAATGATTCGTGATGTTTGCAATTCCATCTGTCATCGTTATCAGTAGTGCCTGGACCAGAACGGTCACTAGTTCGAACACCTGCGATAACTCAAAATATTCTACACTTGTCTTCTATAACTTGGGTTATAAAACTCAGATATATCTTAAGAAACATTCTATTTATAATCATTCAAAATGTGCGTATACATTTTTGGGACATCTTGTATATTTGTTCTTGCGTTGCACGAAGTGCCTTTATTTTACAGATACACACATTCTTCTTACATAAATTCAAACCTCGATCGAATGTGATTAAGAGCGTGAACTGAGTTAATCTCTCAGTAGAGTCTTTAATATTGATTTGGATTATTTCTATGTATTAGCAAACTATCTCTGCTCATAATGTTCAGCTATTTTAAGACCTTCTTATAGTATTTTTCCATCAAACTTCCTCACCGTACTAAAACCTGCTTGTTTACCTCGCATGGAATATTCATTAAAATGGTTTTCGTTATTTGATAATCAACTCATGAAACGTATAGCCAACGAAAAGCTTCTGTGTTATGCTTAAATACCATTTATATTGCTATAATATATTAAAGGATTATCATCTAAGCTATTAAGTGGTTTTCAATATTCTAACAACTTCATTTATTTTGTTCGAACTGTGAGCTTAATAATATGTGTATCGTAGTTGTCTCCAGTTTTATCCTTAAAGATTATCAGTTTGTGTATTCACAGGATTTGGTAGTAGAAATATAGGTATATATACACAGCATAGGAGAAAAATTAAAAGAAATAATTCATCTGTATTCCCTGTAATGTAAAACAGAAATATGTTTTAAATATCTTTATTCTACAAATAATACGAATTAAAGCAGAATCGACAAGGTTGAATATACCTCATAGATTTCGAACCCTGAACTAGCACTGGATTTTGTTTTAATGAACGAGCTGAAACATTTCGGTGTTTTATGAATCTATTTAAAGTGTAATAAAAGTTATCATAACTATTCCAAAATTAAACCTTGATTGTTAATTTTCATCACTTCTTGTCAAAATTATTCGTATTTTCCATTTTCCAGTCAAAAGACACTATTTACGGAAATTTCAAGTAAACGTAAATGGTTGAACACGTTTTAATGGTTAAATAAGTTGGTATGTTATTACACTGTCGATGGAAAAAATCCAAACAAAATAGACAAAACTTCCAAACAAAACAGAAAAAACTTCTAAACAAAATATAAAAAAAACTTCCAAACAAAATAAACAAAAACTTCTAAAGAATATAAAGAAAAACTTCATAAAAAATAAACAAAAACGTCTAAACAAAATAGACAAAAACTTCTAAACAAAATATACAAAACTTCTAAACTAAATATACAAAACTTCCAAACAAAATAGAAAAAATTTCCAAACAAAATAAACAAAAACTTTTGAACAAAAGAGAAAAACTCCTAAACAAAATAAACAAAACTTCTAAAGAAAATATACAAAACTTCCAGACAAAATAGAAAAACCTCTAAACAAAATAGACAAAACTTCCAAACAAAATAGAAAAACCTCTAAACAAAATAGACAAAACTTCCTAACCTCGTCTTCTTTTATGTACACAAGTCTGAAATTAAAAAACAACTACAATCAACACGTTTTAACAAGTAATTAAATAGTTACAGTATATTTGCCCAATCAATTTAAGTTGTGTAAATAAATGTATTGAAGTAACTATAAATCATATTACGAAATAAAGAGCACGTACATTGTTTGTGAAGACACTAAAACCCAATCTTAATTTAACTAACAATTAACCCTCTCATTAATTTCGTGTTTAGTTGCCGTGATTTCTTTGTTATCCCCACCATTCGAGGGTATTGCAATCGGGTCAGTGTGTCTATGTTTCCGCGCGCGTATCTCAAAAACTAATAGACCGATGTATACAAAGTCAGTATGGGACAGTCCTCCCCAAATGTGGTTCGGATCTAAATCCGGATCCGGATTCTGAATCACTTTAAAGTTAGGGAATTTTCGCGATTTCGGGTTAATAACTCTGTAAAGTGTGATCTGATTTGTAGCAAATTTCATGGGTACATTGAAGCTGAGACTCCTCACCACATCACAAAAAAAATAAAAAATATCCAGATTGTTGATCTTTCTGGATCTGAAAAAGGCTTTCTGAGTTTTCGAAGGTGAAATCTTACGTAATCCAATATAAACGCATGCAATCTCGAAAAGGAGCAGCGGGGCGAGGGTATACAATCCTTCTAATTGTTGTTGTTAAGAACTATATTATGAAAGTATCAATTGTTATGAATATATGTATAATGTCAATGTTATACATATATATGTATATATTAGTATCTAATCAGGTAATAAAACACAATATTTACTTAAGTTAATCGTACTCGGTGAAATATTATATGAAACTTGATGTTGAGGAGATGATATAGATATTTTTTTTTACCTTTAGTGGGGATGAATAGTTTATTAAGTGCATGTGTACTTGATATTAGCAATTCACAAAATAGATACATGTACACGTAGACAGATACACAACCATATATAATATTATATAGGTCTTAAGATCTTTTATCCTCTGAAATTAGGAAAAATAATAAAATAGATTCTAAGTGATAATAACAAACACTTAACATATATATATATATATATAAACAATAATACTCTAGTAATATGTATTATGTAATACTTTTATTATAAACTTCAAGACGTTAGTTTATTTTATATGTATCACACATGGTGTATTATAAGTCATCTAGATTTTCCGTATATGATGCATTCACTAAATACATTACATCATATCCGAGTTGAAGTGGATGATGAAATTATTAATTATTCATGAATAATTGCAAATACAGAACGGAAAAATACTTCATTAAAACCTACGTTTTAGTGACTATTTAGGTTCGTATTGTTCGTAAAGAGGAAAAGTGGATTACTGTTTATTACTCATAATGGTATAAAAAAAAAAAGAAAAAGAGAGGCGTAGATACAATAGATCAGACGATAGTCACATATTCAATAAAGCAAACAGTCTAGGTTTATATTTACCAATAAGCTGGATGCTCTAATTACTACACCATGCCTCCCCCCCCCCCAGTGACACAGCGGTATGTCTGCGGACTTACAACGCTAGAAACCGGGTTTCGATACCTGTGGTGGGCAGAGCACAGATAGCCAGTTGTGTAGCTTTGTGCATAATTAAAAACAAACAAATACTAATCCCATGGGTTCACAAACAAACCGCAGTGGAGGTTCTAGAAGAAATATTTACATTGTTTTCTAATAGAATTGGGCTACATTATCAACAAAGAAAAACCAGATTAAGTGATAATATATATAATACCATTTGGTATATGTGTAATATGGTTGTGTGTAAACACAATTCTGATCTTACAACATTTTGTAATAGTTTTAAGGAACAAAAATTATGTCTTATTCGTTTTTCTCAAAACAATACAATAATCATTACGTTGCATGTTGATTTAATGTTAATGTTGATTTAATACTGATTCCTTCCTCAAATCATGCAATAATTACAGGGAATAAAAGTTTTAATATGTGACATGTTTTATGTTATCTGTTCTAAACTAGCATTTCTTTATATATTGATTAAATAAATTTTCCGATTTTCCACAAATTTATGTAAAAATTTGAAGGATTAAAACATTTAATAACAATTATCTTTTGTTTTGTATTCTCAAGAAAGCAGTAATACCCTATTTCATATACATATGCCCCCCCCCCAGTGACACAGCGGTATTTCTGCGGACTTACAACGCTAGAAACCGGGTTTCGATAACCGTGTTGAGCAGAGCACAGATAGCCTTTTGTGTAGCTTTGTGCTTATCTACAAACAAACAAATCATATAGATATAGACAAGTTATAAACTTTTATACAATATATGATACCGAAGTGCATCATAATAGTACTTTGATTTTGTTTCTGACTAATACTTTTTTGTTTATTAATGTTATAAGAATATTAAATATTGGGGTCAGATACAACCCCATCGGTACACCATACGTATTCAATGGATTATTTAAAATTTACATTTTTACCAATAACATACTATTGTCGTTAATTGGTTAGATATTGCAGGACTAACACTTTTATATCTCAGTTAATGGTGTACTACCAGACAAAACACCTTTTGGAGTCTATGTTGCGTCGAACCCAAACTAATATAGCGACAAGAGATGCATGATCTAAACCAATGATAGTTTAGAATCCAAATAAAATGATCAATTACTTTAATCTTACAAAAGTTTCAGAAACAGATTTAAGCCTAATTTCAGATACACGTGGTGCATCTAATCTGAAGCAGTTTCAGCAGCTATATACATATATACAATTACAATCCTACGCACACAATAGTTTTAATTCAAAGGTACAAATATAATCTCAAGTATTTATAACACGTCTAATCTAAAAATGTTTTATCAGAGTTTCAGTAGAATGAGAGAGGTAACTACTGATACAGAAAGGATCGAGGTTATCGTAAATAAAATCTATAGTAATAGGTATACTGTTGATTCAGAATTTAAGGATGAATCACAGGAAGAAATGCAACTCTTACTTGGCAGGCCTGTTGACAAGTGGAAGGACTATGGATTCTAAATAAATGTTAACAAAACTAAGACAATAGTGATTGCATGTTAAAAAAAAACTAAGACAATAGTAACTGCATGTTAACAAAACTAAGACAATGATAATTGCATGTTAAAAAAAACTAAGACAACGGTAATTGTATGTTAATAAAACTAAGACAACGGTAATTGCATGTTAACAAAACTAAGACAACGGTAATTGCATGTTAACAAAACTAAGACAGCGGTAATTGCATGTTAACAAAACTAAGACAGCGGTAATTGCATGTTAACAAAACTAAGACAACGATAATTGCATGTTAACAACACTAAGACAACGGTAATTGCATGTTAACAACACTAAGACAACGGTAATTGCAGGTTAACAAAACTAAGACAACGGTAATTGCATGTTAACAAAACTAAGACAACGGTAATTGCATGTTAACAAAACTAAGACAACGGTAATTTCATGATGTGAGGAAGCTCCCAGACTACGAATCAAAGCAGAAGGTAAAGAGTTGAAACAAGTAGAAGAGTTTATCTGTTTAGGGATGAATGTTAGGAGTGATGGCAAGTGTGTAAAAGCGAAGCATAGGAATGGCAAAAACAGCTTTCTTCAATTTCAAAGACTTTCTCGGGAAAAATGCTTAACTTGAAGTGAAAAAGAGACTAATGAAATGTTACTATGTTCAGTCCAAACTCTACGGGTTAGAAACGCGGATCATATCTGCTGAAATAAAATGACAGTTGGAAGCATTTGAAATGTGATGTTACAGACGAATGATGTAGATTAGGTACACAGTAAGAAAAACTAAGGAGAAAGTATAGGAACGTATAAATACGTTAGCTTGCAAAGGATATTACAAAAGCATACATAGGTATTCGACAGCCAATCAAAAAACAGCTTACACTTGATGTAAACAGGCATTCTCGGCTTAAGGTGAACTCAATAATTCCAACATTGTCCAACCAATGGAAGGTGCACTAGATCTCAGGGAAGTTTGACAGAATTCTGATGGATAAATTTTACTCGTCATAATACATTAGCGTTAGGCCTATTTCGTTTTTAAACTCCACGTTCTTAAACTAGTCCCTTGGGGATTTTCAAGAATTAGAAGAGTGTATAATAATATTTTTCCAACCACACTATATTGAGCGAAACGCGTCGTTGGCTACGGATATGACAAACATAGTGTGGTTGAAATACTATTATTTTGCACTCTTCTAATTCTTGAAAATCCCCAAGGGACTAGTTTAAGAACGTGGTGTTTAAAAACGAAATAAACTCAATACTGATTACTTATGACAAGTAAGATTGTAATAATTCTTTGCCGGTTTGTAAAAGGTGTACACACCATAGCAATTCTGGTGAGTAAAACAATGGAAGAAGAGCGGGAGGAAGGCATCGGCTCTTTTGGCTTGATGACATTAGAGAATAGATTGAATTAGGAAAGATGGTGCAGGCAGAAAGAAATTAGAGAACAATGGATACCCATAGTGGATACTCCTCAATTAGTGAGGACACCATATATGTACACGTGACATATCTAATCTAAAACAGTTTTAGTAAACATGTACAAATACTTATATAAACTTGATGAATATAACATAAAAAATGCCTTTAAGCAGACAAACTAGGGTTTCATATACAAGTGACTCACATAAAATAGTTTTGTTTGATGCAAACAATATATATATATATGTATATATATGTTTGTTTAAACTATTTTAACTGCATAAGATATCATGCACGTGCCCAAACTATTTAGAAGTTAAAATTCCGGAGTTTTTATAAATTTATTAAGATTATTAAAACAACGCGGAATTATTTAAACGCTCTATTAACGTGGTAGTTAATATGTCTTTACAGTATTTAGTGTGTCGTATTAATTTGTCGCACTATTTTAACATGTCAAACTGAGACCGTTGAACAAGTTGGGATCTGTTATTTTAGTGACTTATCGTTTCTAATTCTAATTCAGAATGTTTAATATTTCTATGAAAAACGTTTAATAAACAATTGCAATACTTTCTTCATTTGTTAATCACAAAATGTTTTAAATGGTTCACATCCTGCTGACGTAATATATAATTTTAGTATAAAAGCAGTAATTTACGGAGTTGCTTGTTATTAGGCATAAAGCTACACAAAGGGCTATCTGTGTTCTGCCCGGTACGGGTATCGAAACTCGTTTTCCAGCATTATAAGTCCGCAGACATACCACCGTGCCACTAAAAGGCTAATTTACTTGGACAAATTTTAAATGTGTAAATAAGCTTATTAAAATATTCAACAACTTACGATTTGGGTAATAACTTTCCGAGAGTACCCTGACGTTATACTTGATACATTATAATATTTTATGTATTGCTTTTGTATTTTTATATTATATTCTAATGTAAAGTCTGAGAAAAAGTTGAAATATCAGAAATGTTTTTTTATTGAAGTTATTGCTTTTCCTATAAAGTTTTGACAAATTTTATAAATTTTGATCTGATGAATATATTTACGACCTAAGCGATTTAAACCAAACTTAGCTGTAGTAGTTTTGAAATTGTAAGTCACTAAAATCTATCATTTCGCTCTTGGTATCACTTTACAAACTGTTTCCCTTTACCAACGATTGATCTGTGAAGAAGTACACAGACCAGGTTATAAAAAGTACACAGACCAGGTTATATAGAAGTACACAGACCAGATTATAAAGAAGTACACCGACCAGGTTATAAAGAAGTACACAGACCAGGTTATAAAGAAGTACACAGACCAAGTTATAAAGAAATATACAGGCCAGATTATAAAGAAGTACACAGACCAGGTCATAAAGAAGTACACAGACCAGGTCATAAAGAAGTACACAGACCAAGTTATAAAGAAGTACACAGACCAGATTATATAGAAATACACAGACCAGATTATATAGAAGTACACAGACCAGATTATATAGAAATACACAGACCAGGTTATAAAGTAGTACACAGACCAGGTTATAATAAATACAAGTTGGACGCTTATGAGTTCGAAAGCAAGTGATATGGGACTGGTCAAGGTGGTGGCTGCGGACCGAGAAGTCCAAGGTTGGCGTCGCGATGTCGCTGAACACATTAGACATTTCCAGCTACGGATGTAATATAAAAACAACAGTCAATCCATTATTCGGTTTAAAGCAGGGCAAAACCCTTGTGGCGGAGAGTGCTAGCTGGCTACTCTCCCTCTGCTCTATAGTGCAAAATTAGGGATGGCTGTAACTGAACCCTAGGAGTTCATGACCAAAAGCGCATAAGGTGCCGTATACATCGGAAATACCAAAACAATCACAATGGCAATAGCTGGGACTGTGTATAAAGTGTAAAGCTAATCTTCTAATGATAATGAACGATGATTTACTCTTCATAAAACGATCCTGTGAAACTTCAGATGAATGGGAAATGTAGTTAGTAAGTAAGAGAAGTTATTTTTAGCATAAACAAATATATATATATATATAAATATTAGTGTAAATGTTTCAGTATTTTTTCAAGAGCAACGTTTTTTCTCTGGATTTTTCAGAGATATTAGTGTTGCTGATATTGCATCAGACAGATTAAAATGTTGGTTTCTTCAAAGATACGTCATGAATTGTAAAGAAGGACTTTGTAAAATATTGGGACAAAAACTTATTTCATGTATCAACTTTACTGGATAAATATAAACGTTTCTTTCGACTTGAAATCCAGAGTTACTGTAAATACATTCATTCAGGTTTGCATAACCTGTTTCGCATGTTATTCCCAGAAATACCCTATTTAAAGAATGTGAGTGATTAATCAGGACCCCATGGTGTTGCTTTATTTTTATTCCTTTCCTTTTCTACTTATGATTGGTAGCAACAACTGAGCAACTGATTCATAAGATTACGTGCTTAAGTTGTAAAAGAACCACTAAACAGTAAACTTTTGCATTAAATCTCTGGCTTCACATTCGACACCGAATAACATATTGTTACTTACAGTAAAGACTGAATCATAACATGTTTTCTCTACAAAAATGTTGCATTTAAGGGAAACACTTTTTAAAATTCAACTGTATTTTTGTTTAATTTAAATATATTATTTATGACTTTAGATGTTTGAGTAATAAACAGTTAACCTTTTTTTTAATAATAAGGCGTTACAGTCCGTTTGTTGAATTTTGCGCAAAGCTATTCAAGAGCTATCTGGGTTAGCCGTTCCTAATTTGGAAGTGATACACTAGAGGGAAGGCAACTAGTCAACAGCATCCATCGCCAATTTTTGGACTATTCTTTACCAACGAAAGGTGGGATTGGTCGTCATATTATGACACATCCACATCTGAAAAGACGATCATGTTCGGTGAAGGTATTCGAACCCACGACCCGCAGATTGCGAGCCGAGCGCTCTAATCACCAGGTCATGCCAGACTAGACATTACAGAACAACGCTTTAAGCTTCATACAGTATATATTATAAATATCCCACCAAGCCATATGTTATGGCGGTCGCAGTATTCAGATTCATTGGATTCATGACTGATCATTTGATGCTTTGAAGAAAGAGCAATTTATATTTCTCATATCGTCAACATGCCGAAAATCGATTCAATATCTATAAAAAACTTAATAGTTCACTAGTAATTCAGCTCGGACTTATATGGAAGGTCACAGGGACCCACTTGTAATTCTAAGATGCAATTAGACATTGGTTATGAGTAGCATAACAAGTCTATTGGAATAAATTATTAATGATTTGTTTTATAAGACTGGTATCGTATGCCCCTTTTAATTTAATATTGCTAATGCTTGATTAATTACAAACACAAAATTTTATGCAACTATAACCTTATAAATAATTTCAAAGCATTAAACTTTAAACTTTTGATCTTAAAAACTCCCAAAAGATTGGTTTTGTTGTTGTAAGTATTTAATTTCTTTAAGTCGTGCTGTTTATTTTTTATGTATTCATAAAGTGCAATTACAATTAGGGATTGAAAGTAAAAACAGGTATAAATTTTATGGTGATGATAGAAAGTTGAAGTTTAATAAGTAAAATGATTTATAAACGATTAAAACTTTTCTTTGCAAACCTGTTTTTGCCTCTCATCATAACTTCTTCTCAGAATCTTGTGATGAGAAGTTTTAAAATAACGACATGAGCGTGCACCACCTTGCAAGTTTGTTTTTGAGGTTCATATAGTACAGTGAAAAATACTTAATGACTGAAATAATAGCTTATAGAAAAAAAAATAGCAAAATTAATCATTTTATGGTGTTTAACTGTTGGAGCTTCAGTCATGGTTTTATTTTATGTTTGGTCCACAAAAGGTGTAGACGTAGTCTCATTGCAGGGTTTAATTCTTGACCAGAATAACGAGCTTAGCCGTGCCATGAATCTCAACAACAATATACCAATAAAGCCAAAACGGGCTTTGTTTTCTTCACAACTTCTGCAATATCCAAAAAAGTAAGTTAATTACCCCACCCACAATACCACCTCTCTCTCTTTTTCTCTTATGCTCTGTTTCCCTCTTATCTCTTTTTTTTGAAACGAGGTGGTTAAACGATAAACATGTGGGGGGGGGAGGGGGCGTGACATTGAAGTTAAAGATCATTAAGCTAAAGATTGTGGGGTGTAATGTTTTAATGTTGGATGATATTTCGCGGTCAAGGACACCATAATTAGTATGCAAATAGATAGGGGGATTGAATTGCATAGGAACCCCTTTTGTGTAGTTAGTTGTAGGTGTGTACACGTTTAAAACCAGCTTGTTACCATCTGTGTACGTGTAGGGTTGCCTTGCTACACAGCTGCGTTACCACTTGAGTCGTTTGTAATTTATATCAGTCTTTGGTTATTATATAAAATAGGAAATTTATAATAACGTCTTAGATGACACCGTGACTATGGTTATGATACTAATGTGATGTATATAAATGAATATACATTTATATATATATATTTAGGAAAGCTAAAAATTAAAGAAGATAATACATCATAAGAAAGGATAGCGTGAATCTTACGCAGCAGATGAAATACAATTAAATTTAAATTCATAGGAGACAAGAAAAAAAAATC